AACTCAGGGGCTCTTGGCCATGGAGCCACATCCCCAGCCCTATTTTGTATTTTATTTAGAGACAGGGTCTCACTGAGTTGCTTAGTGCCTCACCATTGCTGAGGCTGTCTTTGAACTCACGATCCTTCTTTCTCAGCCTCGAGAGCCACTGAGATTACAGGCGTGTGCGGCGCCTGACATCTATGCCGCATATTCTTAAAAACTACTTTATTGAGGTATGATAACATACAAAAACCAGTATGCACATATTTAATGTTTACAGCCTGGTGAGTTGAGAATCAAGTATTGCAATGTAAGGATTCATGCCTGTGACATACCAGTTTTCTTTCTGCCTGAGCAAAGGGCTGATTTTTTTCCTTTGGAGGAATACCATCATCATTGTTATTTTTTGCTTATTTACATAGCCATGATAGATAGCTAGTTAATTTATTTCTGCAGCCTTAACCTCTCCTCTAAGCTACAAGCCTTTTTTTTAATGGTAAAACTGGACACCTACACTTTGATGTCTATTTGGCAATGTCACAACCTTATCTTTCTCTCACAAACCTGCTCAGATCTTGGCTACCCTAATCCCACAAATGGTACCACTTTTGCCCCATTACTTATTCAGTTATTCAAGAGGAACCCAGGAATCTACCTGGCCTTCTTACTTTTTCCATTTACCTATGTCCAAAACATCACCAGGTTCTGCAAAATTCTCTCATCTGAACCCTCTCCACCCTCATCTTCGCTGTACTCTCCCCATCCACACACCATTTTTCACCTGTGTTACTGCTGTGTTCCTATAACCACATGCACAATTGCATTTCCTTTCCATTTCCTTTTGCATTTCTCCACAATGTAGACAGAGTGATATTTAAAAATATAAAACTGACCATGCCACTCCCATCAATGGCTTTTTCTTGATCTTAAGATAGACTTCAGAATTCTTATTTGACATTACCTGCAATACCTGGGTTGATTTGGCCCTGTTGATGCCTCAGAACCATCTCTAGTCACTCTTTGAACCTCTCTGCTCTGACAAGTATCTAGAACCCACTGTGCTTCTTCCCACCACAGGGCTTTTTCACATGCTGGTAGTAATTACAGTTTGAACGTTCCAGTATTCCTGGTTCTCATTCTCATGGCATTTCAGCCTTTTATTCCAGATACTTCATGTCTCAACTAAATGTTACTTCTTTACAGAAATCTGACCTTGCAGGTTATTTTAACTTCCAGTTATACTCTCCCTGAACATCTCCCTATTCATTGGGTATTCTATGAAAGCTCCAGAAGCCAAGGTTCACATCTACCTAGTTCACTATCATAGAATAAACCTACCACACCATGCCTGGCACCTGTTATATGATCAGTAAGTACCCATTGAGTGAGTGAGTGAATAAGTGAATGAATCAATGAATGATCAGAAAATTTAGGAGAAAGTGAGAAGTAGTGGTAATTAGGACCTGAGAAAGACTTCATTCGTCGGGATTTAGGGGTATCAGTCATCTCTGCTCTGCAAATGAGCCAAGAACTATTCAAGGCATCATCTAAGTAGACTAGGAACATGAGTTTTCTAAAACATCTAAGTAGAGTCAGGAGCTTTGAAACAGGAAGGGAATGTTTGTTATTAGTGTGATCTAATGTAATATTAATGATAGCTTCAATCCCACAGCCCTGTTGATGCTGTGATAATTCAGATCTAGAGTTACTGCATGAGGCAAAATTCACACATTCAGTTTTATCCTTGAAAATCAATCACTGTCACTGTATTATACACATGGTTCTGTGTACATAGCATTAAAGTTGAGACCTTCTGAGCTAGATGTTTTATTACTTCTTACATTTCTATAAGATCTTTGGTTCTCTGTGGTTTATAGACTTAAAAAGAGTAAAAAACAAAAACAAAAACAAAACCATAACTTTAAAGAACTTAAATGGGTTTTGAGTGAGTAAAGTAAAGGGCAGGTGTATCCTACTCCAAAATTAACTGGAGAAACCACATAGGCCAAGGGGGAAAACCTGGGGAATGACTTGGGGAGTGATTCAGGGTGTACAAGGATCACAGAACATGGCCAATGTTGGTGGTTGTGTGCTTTATAATATGTGTTTTAGAAAAGTGTACCACCTCTATGCCAGACCCACAATTTCACAAAGTTATATTTAAAAAGCAAAACAAGACAGTCTGCGGGAAAATAGTACAGGTAGCCAGATAAGAACAGAATTGTGAAGTAATTTTCAAATGATGGATTTAGGGTGACATTTCTGTGAAGCATATGGTTGTTTTGCTCTACGAGATCAATTCCATCCTCTCTGTTTTGTCCATTCCCCTATATGTTTAAAAAGTATTTTACATTTTATTTGTGCTGTTACACACATAAGGTTCATTTTTACATAAACCCTTCATGGCAGACAATATTTATTCCCACTTTGCTGATGTCGAAACTTAGGTTCACAGAGGTTATGGAAGTGTAATTCAGCTATATTCTGTATGTAGAATAAAACCATGTAGAAAAATATACAGTTACTATTTATTGAGAGGCTAGTATGTGCCAGGCCCTGTTGTAGGAACAAGAAAACGTGCTGCTCTCTTGGAGCTTATGTTTAGTGAGTGCTCTGTTGGGATTCAGTGAAGGACTTTGACCCTGCATCCAGCACCTTCCCTCCACTGTATTCAAACCATGGCTTCTGGAAAGGAGAGACACCTCAAAAGCACATCAAAACTCATACACCCCAAAGAGCAATGCTCACTTCAAGTATGTTGTATATAATTATACAGGTCATATGATCTATATATGTAATTTATCAGGGAAATATATATAAAGTATATGCAAAGAGCAGGTGATTTTTAAAGAGGCAGCAGAAAAGATTGTTGTTTTTTTTTCTCACAAGAGGGTCAAAACTGTCAGCCCACCTTCCAAAGGGAGAACAAGAAAGGGTGAATATATCATTGACTAAAAGGGGACTGTTACAGAGGAAACTTAATGGCCAAATGCTGACAAGTAGGATGCTCAAGTATATGTAGGATCTTGGCTATGCCCCACTTGTAGGAGACAGCAAAGTTAAGTACTTTTAGAAGGCAGGGAAAGAAAGCAAAGACGCTCCCTGGAAATAAAAAGGACTCATTGCTAGACCATCTGCCAAGTGCAGTGGGGTGTGTAGGCTCTGGAGTCAGGTGCTCTGAGCGTGGATCCCTTGAGCAGTTTCATGACTTGCAAGGTCAAGGCTATGATCTTGACCATGGACTTGACCTCTCTGGATCTAGTCTCCTCAACTGTAAAAGAAAGGTGGTAATAACTCTCACCTCACAGGCCTGATATGTGGAGGATTCAATAATGCATTTAAAATGTTAGAAACTACTTTTACATACTGGCTCTGCCCCTTATTATCCCAATATTCTATACTTTAACATGTACAGTGTACAATGAGACTTATAGCATAGAACAGAAGGGTCAAATGGCATGCACTGTAATCTCTCCATCAATGAATAAATGCTCAGTGATATTTGCTTTACTTCCCTTTCCAACAACTCCAGCAATAGGTTAAGTGTGTTGATGCAGTCCATGAGATTCTAATTACTTGTGATTTCATTCTAATGAGAAGAATTAGAGTTTCATGCAAGCAAAATCTACATTTTTCTAGGCTCATTTTGTCATGTGTACCCTCACATACAGGTGCACACACAGGCAAAGGAAACACATTATAAAGAAAAGATTGTCATAAAATTTAAGTGTTGAGGGAGTTCTCAAGGTTATTGAGTCCAAGTTTGGTTAATCTTTAAAGTCAGTTCTGGGACTTTTTTTTTTTTTAAAAAAGTAGAATTCTCTGGACCCCTATCTAGAGATTCATTCAATAGGATGAAGGTGGGACTCAGGAATCAGAGAATTTGAAAGCTCCCCAGGGGTTCATGACCAGGCTGTGCTTCACCTCCCTGCCTGGTGAGTGGCTTGGCTTCTGCCCGTGTCACTTTTTCTGTCCCACCCTGGGAGAGCTGAGAGGCAGGAGACCAAGCAGGTCAATTCTGTTCATTTTAGAAGCCCCAGAATGCAGCCTTCTTCTGAAAGGGAGGGTTGGGGAGTCTCAGCTGATAGGTTTGCAGGCTTTCCTGAGGTGTCTGCACAGAGCTCTGAGTCCTTGGGGTCCTGATGAGCCTGTGTGAGCTGATGGGTAAACATGTCCGGACTTTGAATCCTGGCTGTCACATGGAGTGCAAAGTAGTAAGTCCTACATTCTAAGTTGTAGGAGAATTAAAGGAGACAATATCTGTTAAGGGAGGAGCACAGACTAGTTTATCATGCACACTCAACAAACCTCAACTTCAACAAAATGGAACCACTTTAAAAAGCCCAGGACAGCAGAGGAAAACCCCCTTTTCTGTGTGCCACAGTCTCTCCTGGGCCCCTCCAGGTCTTGGGGTGTATTCCAAAGTCTTTTCCAATGTTAATTCCCTTTTAGGTCTTAAGTGATGAGTTGTTGGAGTGTCTAATTTTCACTGAGGCTCTCTTCTTGGTTTTTGTGCCCAATTTTTTTTTTTAAAGGGCGGGAGAAATATTGGAGGAAATGTGATAATTTAAGAGTTGATAGACCTTGCCAGCTTCAGTGAGCCAATCCATTGGTCAATGTCTGTTTTTTTTTT